AAGACCCCCCCGGGGCCAGCCTGCCCCCCCAGGCACCGTGACACTGGTCACCAGTTTAACTCCCCAGCACGGCCGGCTGAGCATTCCCCACCCCCTCCCAACTGCCTCCTGCTCCAGGAAGGAGCACCAGCCTGTGCCTCACTTTTCACACAGCGCTCAGCAGCTCCAATGTCATTGCCTAGGCGACCAGGACGCTACTTGATTGTAGGGCAGTAAATAACATAGATCTTCAATCCCAGGCCGCTCCTGCCCGCGGGAGACCTCCAGGGGAACTGGAAACGTTTGGGGAGCCAGAGCAGGTAGGAGGAAAAGGAAAAAAAAAAAGGCATAAAAGGGTATTTGTGTGTGTGAGTTACTTTGCAAGATCCTCTCTCGGTAACGCAGCTGGGATGTGACTCCTGGCTGCTTGGCTTTGTAGGCTCTTGGAAAGTTTGTTCCCCAGTGTCTTAGATCTGGAGTAAGGGCACTTGTGGAGTTAAAACTCAGCCAAGCCTGGAATGGGAAGAGCAGAGGTGGGGCTGGGCACGATGCTGGGCTGGCCGGGTCCCCAGGCAGGGCTGAGGCTCAGCTGCCTGGGAGGGAAGGAGGTTGAGGCTGGTTGAGCCTCCTGCCCCATCACGAGCTGCCTGTCGACTCCTCCATCCACCAGGGAGGATTTCTGTTGGACTTGCTTGCTCCTTGGATAGAAAATGGTTCATAAGCTGCTGGACCCTGAGGAGGGCTCCTGAGATTCAGGTGTGCTGCAGGAAAACTCACTCGCTGCTGGTCACTTTTAAGTGACTACTTTTACAACCCCATTTTGCAGTTGTGAACGTAATAACCTGGGGCAAATGAGCAACAGCACGGGGCAGTGTTGACATCTTTGGGTCTGGAAGTTATTTGCTGTGGGCTGGATGAGCCTGGTGGTTCTCATGGTGTAGAGGAGGGAAGGTCCAGGGGCCAGTTCACAAACCACCAGGCGAGACACAGCAGCTGGGTGTGAGAGCTGGAAATGGCTCTCAAAACTCTTCCTCCCTCAGGATGGGCCAAGAGTCTGTAGGAATTAAGAATAGCACTATTGTACAGGTTTTGTGCATGTGTCTCCCTTTAAGGTGGCTGCAAAGTGCTGTCACATTTCAGGCTGGGCTGTCAGAGTGAAGGAATAGGGGCAAGTAGGTTATTGCTGGGGGGAACAGCAACAGATATTTCTAAGTGCCTAAAACTGAGGCTTAAAGTTAATGGTTGAGATCAAAGATGCTCCTTCTAGAAGATGCAGAAACTCAGCAGCCAGGTGTGACTCTCAGCAAGACTTCAGCCCCCTCGTTACACCTGCACTGCCCTTCACCTTCCTTATATTGATGAAAGAGAGCTGAATTTATAATAATTCTAAGAATATATTCATTCTCTGTGGTCAGAACACAGACCATGGGCTGCATGAAGCACAGCTGAGTGAATGCAGGTTATCCTGTCTGGTTGGCTGGGGTGGACCTTGGTGTGCACCTTTTCTTCTCCTTGTGTCCCTGGGGCTGGGGGGAATCAGCTGCTGCAGCTGAGCTGGGGCTGACTTGGCTGTTTGGGTACAGCCAAAGCCACAGCAGTGGGGAAAAGACTATGAATACTGAGTATTTCCATACTAATCCTTTGAAAAAAGGTACATGGACAGAAGGAACTGGCCTCTGGGCCAGTCCAGCTGGCTCCTGCAGCCTGGGGGTGCCAGCCCAGCCCTCCCTGCTAAAGCAGCAGTGGGCTGAGCTGAGCCCCGATGCAGGGGTAGGTCGTGGATTGCCTTCTTGTCTCCGGATTCCTGGGCTCTTTTTCCCCGTGTGCAGCTTCCCTGCAATGCCCTGACTCGCAGCAACAGAGGGAAGCAGCAACCCAGCCAACGGCAGAGCCGGCCTGGGGAAGCCCCTGGAGTGCAGCTCTGCCGAGTGAGAGCAGGGAAATCACCCAGTGCCCACCCCTGCTCGGCTTGTTCCCACCTCTCTCCCTCTAGAAGCCTGCAGAAATGTGTTGTACATCTGCTCCAGGTTTCCCTGCCTCCCCAGCCAGGTGCCAGGCCAAGCATCCCCCCTCCCCTCACTGCTGTGTTGAGGCAGATGGGACAGAGGACCCCGTGCTGCTCCCTGCCCTGGGCAAGATCTTCAGCTTAATAAACCAGTTTGGGTCCCTGGAGGTATTAGTTCTTGGCTAGAGAACTCTTTCTGGCAGAAGCTGGGGTCTTTCCTCCTGTTCTGTGGCACAGGGTGACATCAGGGAGCTGTCACAGTTGTGGCAGAGGTGGAAGAGCCTCCAAATGGACCTGGAGGTGGCAGAGGAGCTGAGCCAGGACAGTGGCTGCTCTCAGCTCTGCCACTGCTGGTGTGTTTAGCCCCAGGTTAGTTGCCTGCCAGTGACAGGCACTGGGGAGGTAATGACATCCAAGCCATCTAGGAATACTTCTCTAGCAATGCTGAGTTAGTCTCTAAGGCTCCTCCTTGTTCATCTGGTGAAGTTGAGCCACAGGACCTCCACAGCTTCCCAGCACCTCACCCTTCCACAAATGCTTTGACAGTACAAAGGGACTCCAGATGGCATCTCCTAGAGTGAATTGCCCTGTCACCAGCACCACTGCCAACCACGGGAACATTCTTTGCTGTCTAGTGTGGCTCTTCACCACCCCAGAAGCCTGCTGGTCAGGCTGTCCTTGCTGCAGAGCTGCTTTCCCAGGACGTGCAGTGATCACTGCAGCAGGAACAGGCAGTTACAGCCCCAGCTTCTCTGTGTGCCACGGAGTCTAGAGCTCAAGTGTGAGAAGACACTGGCTGGGCTTTGCAGGTGCCTGTTGTGCTTTGAAAGAGAAAGGGAACTTCCAAAACGCCCTTAAAATACTCAGATTTTTTTTTCCTGTCGAAAACTGGTGCAGCCACGTGGTTAGAGCTGGTGTCACCCTCCTGACCACGCAGCGGGGCGGTGCGGAGGAGCTTTCTCTGCTGAGGGGAAAGGCCTGGCTCCTTCCGGGAGCTGCCCTGGGCCTGGGAGAGAAGCATGGAAGCAGGGTAAGGCCACCAGCAGGCACCTTCGGCTCTCTTGTCCTTTTCTCCAAGCTGCTGTGTAGGTCCTTTCATTTCTCTGTGTCCCACGTGAGACGAGGAGGGATGGGAGCCACCTCTCACTGCTGCCTGCTCTGTGGTGGGACTCACCTCTCACTGCTGCCTGTTCTGTGGTGGGACCCACCTCTCACTGCTGCCTGCTCTGTGATGAGCCCCCTCTGCTGTGACAAACCCTCCTGGGGAGCAGCTGCAGCTGCCGTGGCTCCCGGGAGCAGCTGAAAGCAGCCCAGGGGATCAGCTCGTGGGGACACGGCCCTGCTTTTGATTTAACAGCAGCCCTCCCAGCTCCAGGTGACTCAGAGGGACCTGGGTGACCCCCATCACTCAGTTCGAAAGCAGCCACCCTTGTGCTCAGCACCTCGAGCCCCAGAGCAGGAAGTTTTTGGGCTTTCACTCTTAGACGTCGGTACCGAGTTGAAAGGAGTTGGTGATGCTGGTCTGGGTGAAAGGAGTGTCCAGGTGGTGCCTGGGGAACGTCTGTGTCAGCCAGGGCAGGGAAGTGGTCCTGCTGCTTCCAGGGAGCAGGTAAGGGAGAAGGACGAGGGCAGAGGAAGGCAGCCTGGGGCTCAAAATGGCTCCGTGAAATCTGCTGCTCCTGCTGCTGGGGTGAGGTGGGTGCTGGGCACGAAGGGAGAGCCCAGGCAGGCTGTGGGGCTGCTTCCTGTGCTTGGAAGAGGCCAAGAAACGTTGTCCATGGCAAGAGGAACGGGCTGGATTGAGGATGACCCTGGCTATGCCTATGCAGTGGCATTCAGAGGCTGCAAGAAGGGCTTGGATTCTCACTGCAAGTTTGGTTTTGTCACCAACTTGGGGTTTCGGTTTGATTCAGGGAGCTGATACTGAGGAGTTCGAGATTACTGGGTCTAACTGGCAAGTCTCAGCCCATGCTGAGGGCAGCTGCTCCAAGGGGTTACTAAGGCCAGTCGTGCAAAGCCTGCCCTGGGCTGCAGGAGCTGTTTGCAGCCACAGTGAAACACACACCTGAAGTGGGAGCCGTGAGTCGCAGGGTCGGTGCTGAGCAATGGGCTGACGTGCCCAGGCCCTGCCACTTTGGCCCTTTCCAAAATCCCCCCGTGTTGGTAGGAATGCTGGCATCATCTGCAGACACACCACCCTGCTGCTGACCTGAGGTGGCACTCAGCAATGCTAACCCTGCTGTTCCTCTTTGTCCCCAGAGTGGTTTATCCTCTGTCAGACTCTCCCTCCGCAAAGATGTCCCAGTCGTCTCCAGCTGATGGGGGCACCACGTTTGAGCACCTCTGGAGCACTCTGTAAGTGGAGGGTGATCTTCTGAGGCAGGAGTGCCCTTTGTTCACTGATCTGCATTAGCACATGTCATTACTGTGTCTTGAAGGGAGACAAGCTGCTTCTGCACGTTCCAGTTTTCATGCGTTGAAGCACAGACTGGTCCTCCCACAGAGGAGAGCAGCTGGGCCGTGTCCTCCAGGGCTGAGCACCATCAAACCTGGCTGGTGTTCCTGAACTGCAGCCCTTTGAGCTGGCATTGGCACATGACACCACCCATGCCATGTAGAGGGACAGATGGAGATGGTGTCAGGGCCAGAGCAAAGGTTCCCTTTCAGCTGGGACCCCTGCCTGTGTTGTGGCAGGGGATGCTGGGCCCAAGAGGGGATGGTGTCCTCTCACACATCAGTCTCCTCTCATGAGGTCATGAGGCTTGGTGACTGCCTGTTTAGAAATGGGCATTTTCTAAAATAAAATATCTTCCAGCCACACCAAGACTGTCACAAGTCTCCTGGCCTTCCAGCCTCGTGCTCTAATCGAGCAAGGAAGAAGGTTTGTGCCTCAATTTCACCCTCCTTCTTCCATGGTGTCCTCTCACTTAAAGCTGTCCCAGGGTGACAGACAAGCTAGAGCAGCTGGGTGGATGAAAAACCTTCCATCTCTGCTTTACCCACCAGGCAACAGTTTGCCTGAGCAAAAGCTGCTCTGCCCTGTGAAAACAAAAGCAGAGGATGGAGGAAGAGGTTGTGAAGGGCACCAGGTCCAAGGGAACTGCAGGTTGCTGGGAGTGGTGGCACAGGCTGCACTGGAGAGCTGCAGGGCTGACCCTCTGCCACCACCTTTCCACAGGGAGCCAGACAGCACCTACTTCGACCTCCCCCCGTCCAACCACGCAGGCAGCACCGAGGTCTCCAACCGCACAGAGGTCACCATGGACGTTTTCCAGCTGAGGAGCATGAACGACTCGGTCATGGTGAGTGTGCCCAGGCTGCACCAGGGGGGCTGCACCAGACACAGCCCTGCCTGCCCCGCAGCAGGGGGGGGGCTCTGGCTGGGAAGTGGGGTGCTCAGTAACCCCAGCACGAACACGACAGGCACAGCGTTGCTGCCCTGTGAAGGGACTGATCCCCTGGGGCCTCGCTCAGGGCTGTGCTGCTGGCACAGGGTCCCAAGAAGCTCCTCAGGAACCGGCACCTCTGCTGCCCGCAGCGCCGGGACCTGCAGCGGCGGTGCGGGAGCCCGGGGTCCTGCAGGGATGAAGCAGCAGGTGCCTCTGTCTAAGGCAAAGGGTTTGGGAAGGGCGGTGGGCATGGGACACCCCCAGGTCGCTTGTGCCTGCTCAGAGCCCGATCGGCCTCCCGGGAGCATCCCTGGCGCGGCGCCGGCAGCATCTCCCTCCAAAAAGCCTCCGTTTCCCTCCTCGCCAGCCTCGCGTCCGCTCTCCCGGCTTCCCTTTCCCTCTCTTTTCCCTTCCT